CCTCTGCACAGTCCCTCATATCACTGCTTCTCAATGCTTACTATCACTGCTCCACAGTCCCCTCATCACCTCTCCATAGTCCCCCCATCACCTTTCCACAGTCCCTGCTATCATCGCTTTACAGTCTTGCCCATGATCATTTTCAGTGTACCTTCTATCAACACTCCACAGTCCCCACATCACCTCTCCACACTACCGCTATGACGTTTGCACAGTCCCTCCCATCACGGCTTCATAGTCCCTCATATCATTACTCCACAATGCCCTCTGTCACTGCATCACAGTCCCCCATTACCTCTCCAAAGACCCCCATCTCTTTTCCACAGTCCCTCCTATCACGGCTTCGCAGTCCCTTATATCAACACTCCATAAGGCCTCCTATCTCTGCTTCACACTCCCCCATCACCTCTCCACAGTCCCCCATCACCTCTCCACAATTCTTCTTACCACAGTTTTTGTTACATACGGTATCTGCACCTGACATGAAACAGTGCAGTTCTATATGTTCCCTGGAAAACTGTTATATAGTGCCTGTTATTTATTTTTACACTTGTTACTTTTGTGTCAGTTTGATCAGCTGCTTTGGGTCTTATTAGGATGGAGACACAGAAGGCCTTTATCTTTGGGTTGGTGCAATGATCATACATATATAATTATTTTAGTATTATACTTTGCTGCAGGTTTTGTTAATACAATTCAAGTTATATTCTAGATTGCTTGTAATATCCTCACTCTTGACCATTCTGGAACAGGCACACTTTTACTATTTTTTTTATAAATAAGTCACAGTGTAATCCCCAGTTACAAGGGAAAGGCTGATATAGCTAATAGCAATCATATTTATTGTCTCACTTTCCTAGTGCAAGTCAGGATGAAACTTAATTGGCTGATATGGGCTAAATGTCTAATTTTTAGTTACCCTGGTTTTTATAAGGCCAGGTCAAAGTAAGTCGATGACTGTTGATTTTCCAGCAAAAACATGTTTCTGTCTCTACGGGACGCTAATAGTCAGCTAATTCAGTGAGCTACACCATCTTAACAAAAGAGGGAGCCAGTGCACAAGGTCCAGCAAGCAGCAGCTGATTGCATGCAGTCTCTCACATACTAGATCAGCAACCACGTGAGCGTGAACAGGATGCCAGGCATATTAGCCACAGACAGAGGGGTTGAATTACTAAAGGAGTAGACTCTGTTCACTTTGGAAAGTGGAAGTTTACTATACAAAAGTGATTATTCACTGAGCGAAGTAAAAAAGGTGAAGCCTGAATACCCAATTATGATCAAGAGAATTTTAAAACAAACACGATCTTTTCTTGCACAGGATTGGATGATTGTAGTAAACTGAGATTCTCCCGTAATAACTAAGCTTACATTGTAAAATTAACATTCGCTATTTTACGTGACCAGCCTCTGCTCCTTTACTAAACCAACCAGAATGTGTAGTGTGTGTCACTTTTTGCCTCATAAAAGAAGAACTGTTTGTGCCGTCAGGGGCGTCCCGAGGCTGGGTGACACCCGGAGCGGTAACCAAGTGCCACCCCGCGCGATGACGTCATCACGCACGCGCGGCAGTATTCCGATACCTGCTGGCGACCATCTTGGTGATGGACGCCGGCAGAGAGAGGAGGGGACAGTCACCCGGCGGGATAAGGTATGCTGCCGGGTCCCCTCCCCTCTCCTGATACTGTCGGGCGTTCGGTCCATGACCGAGCGCCCGACTTTTCAGAGGGGGGTGACACCAAAATGACTGTGAGTTATTTTGGTGTCACCCTTAAAATGGTGGCACCCGGGTGCAGGCCGCACCCCCCTTGTGACGCCACTGTGTGCCGTCATACAATTCATAAGAGTCTCCTTGTTATGCATTAGATGAATGCCTTGCTACAGGCATCATTTCTACTTCACAATAATTTCCTTTTCAACTAAATATATAAAATATATAAGGGTCACCCTCAATTATAAAAAATACATTAGTAAAGGTACGTTAAGCCTTGTTTAGCGTAGTGGTTAGCACTTCTGCCTTCCAGCCCTGGGGGTCCCTGATTCAAATCCCAGCCAGGTCACTATCTGCAAGGAGTTTGTATGTTCTCCCTGTGATTGTGTGGGTTTCCTCCGGGTACTCCGGTTTCCTCCCACACTCCAAAGACATGTTGGTAGGTTAATTGACTCCTCTCTAAGTTGGCCCTGTATGTATGTGAGATAGGGACCTTAGACTGTAAGCTCCTTGATGGTAGGGACTGATGTGAATGTGCAGGACATCGCAAATTCTTGCCACAGAAATCCACAGCCAGGCCTCTTTTCCCCATGTGAATAAGGCCTTATTCCAAGAATTTAACAGATTGCCATTAACCCCATGAGGACCCTTTCGCTGCCAACACCCTGTAGAATACAAAGGTGGCAGTTGCAAACTTTTATGTTGCATGATATGGGCGCATATTTTTATCAAACCCCAAAATTTAGTGAAAAATGCACTTAAGTTCATTTTAGCTCCACAAAGCACAATACAATACCCATTTAAAAAAAAAAGATAAAAAATTAGATTACGACGAGTAAATAGATACCCAACATACCCAGATTAAAAATTGTGTGCGTCCTTAGAGTGGCAACAAAATTCAGTACCCCATAATGTCCATAGACGACACTTTAATCACTTCCCGTAAAGCACGTCATTCGCTGGAAGTGCTTATACCAAGAACACGGCTGCTGCTGTGGAACAGTTTTAAACAGCAGACGATTGCTGTTTAAAAACAAGTGATCCGGCGTCTGTACAGGCGCCAAATCGCTTGTACGGTGCGGCGCAGTGTCCCTCCGCTGCTGCCGGTGTCAGTGGGCACATTCTCCAGCTCCTAGAGCCAAAAGAATCTCTGCTTCATCAGCTTCTTTGCGGTCCCTGGGTGACATTAGGGGTCTGTCTCCATAAATTAGCAGATACAAAAATAAAATAAAAAATTTTTAAGCTCATCCGCTCAAAAACTAAAATTGTGCCACACATGTTACATATCGCAATACACGCAATTTTACGGCTTTACATGTTTGGTATCTATTTACCCGGCGCGACCCTGTCTTTTATATTTTACCAAAAAATTGAGTATTATATTCTTTTCTGTGCACTAAATTTCCTTTTAGTGTATTTTATCCTAAAAATACTTGTTTGATAAACATTTGCGCAAATACCGTGCGACATAAAAAAATTGTAACTAGCATCTTTTTATTCTACATGGCCTCTGATTTCAGTAAATATATCATTGTTTGGGGGTCTGAAGCTTTTTTCTAGCCAAAAATGCATGTGCGAAGGTAAGAAATTGCTGGACAGCAAGTTGACATTTTAAAAATGCCCCAGCAAAGGTGGAAATGTCCTTTTAAAAGCTCCTACAGGTTATCAGTTTAGAGATACGTATAAATATTGGCCCTAGAATTATTGATCTCACTATGGCGTGAGTGGCGATACCCAAAATGTGTAGCACGATCAACGTTTTCGTACGCAGGCGCACCAGATACGTGTTTGTGCAAATGCACTCGCGGGGGACTTTAAAACATTTTTTACATTATTTTTACATTTATTTTATTCTTTATCATTTTTTAAAACAGTTTTTTTTACTTTTCTTCAATTGCTATCACATAGGGGGGCTGGGCTGGAACTCTGTTTGTGGTCAGGACCTCTCCTCTC